TGAGTCCAAGAGGAATATGAGAATTCCCGAGCTGAGGAAAGCAAACATATATTCTCCCAACACTGGAGTTTCACGGGCAGCCCTAGTGATATGAAAAACATATTTCACGACTGCTGCATATCACCGCGAATAATATCGCGTTTTTCACCGAGTTTTACGCCACTCCACGTGAAACGGGTTTCAACGAATTTTTGATTTTTCATTTTCCCAGGCAAATTTGGTGATTCTACCATCGAAATACAAGGACGATTTCGAGCGGTTTTGCGCTCTGAATTTCCAATCGTGTCCTTTGCTGGAAATGGTTGATTCGACATTTACTATCGATGGAAATCGTCAATTGCAGTTGATATCAAAAATAGTGGCTCCGGGAGCTGATCTACTTACAGGTGAGATAATGATGGGAAAATATGCACATGGCCAACTACATGTTTTGATGGCAATATGAAAATTGTGAGGAAATTTTGGGAAATTTTTGATTGGTTTTTGTACACTTCTACCGTAATTCTATAATTAGTGAGGAAATTTCAGAGGAAAGCGAACATATGTTTTTCTAACACCGGAACAACGAGAAATTGAAATTGCGGAGCGAGCGGAGTATATACCGCAACAACAGGCACTTCCGCGTTGTGCGTGCGTGCGGAATTAGTTTGGCTCAACTACAAAGCGTAGGAGGCTATCAGATAGATCAAACGACTCCTCTGAATGCCGAGGTGTAGGGAAAAATAGGAAAACTCGATTATGCGACCAGCTCGAAGAGATATGCACGAAAAACTTTAATGACGGAAAACTGTCCTACCCGGGGATCGAACCGGGGAGCTATGTCAAATTCATTGATCGAATCAATAGACGTGGACTAAGCGAGCTCCGCCCCTTCGTCACGAAGGCCTAGTATTTTTAATTTCGAATATCAAATTTGGTCGTCTTATATATGCATTGGAATGCAGTTTTATCAACAGTTTTTTATAACAATGATTTTTTTGTGAAATTTCCTTATAATTTTCGAATTTTTTTGGTGATAATAGAATTATGATGAGCTTTTCAGCGGCTCGAATTTACCAGGAATACTACACAGAACTTGTAGTAGTAGTAGTAGTAGTAGTAGTAGTAGTAGTTGTGTCCAGATGCATCGAAATATACTGTTTATGATAGCAGTGGTAAAGTTGAAGTTTTGCGAGCTGATAAGAGTGTCCCCAAGAACGTGGAAGCTCTCACTGGTTTCGTATTTGGATGCAGCTTTTCATGGGAGGATAAGCTCGCTGAAGCAGGTGAGTCATATAGGGAGGGCGGAGCGAAGCGATTATTGTTTACCATTTTCGTACGGAATCAGGGGAGCTCGGGAAACGGAGACCAATAAGAAATTCCCAGAATTTTCAGAATTGTCATCAACACATGTGGTTGACCATGTGAATGTTTTCATGGGGTAGGGGTTCCACCGCGACATATGGTTCAAGGCAAGAATGTTTCTATGTATCGGACAAATATATCCAATAAGGTGAGCTATACATAATCGATCACGTGATCGATTTGGATTTGGTGATTTCAGACCGCCGGGCCGTTCGGTGGAAACTTGGTGGTGAGTATGCGACCTTATCGTTTAGAACAAGTAAGTTTTCTGAAATTTTTTTCGGAAGAATTTTACGATTTATTTCTGCTGAGTCAGTTTTATGGGAAAGTTTTTAGTTCACCCCGTTTTATGTGAAGTGGCGTTATAGAGCTCGATATGAAGTGAATTGAAAACACACTTTGCAAATTGCATGGGACAAATCGGCCGTGGAAGATTTCACGTTATTCACTACTCACATACGTTTTTCGCGGAGTGAAATGTGAAATATGTTTTTCACTAGTGTTTTTCATAGCATGGGTTTCGTGGAAACTTCATTGATAACAACAATGGAGTTTCACCCTAGTGATATGAAAAACACTAGTGAAAAGTATATTTCACGACTACTGCATATCACCGCGAATAATATCGCGTTTTCCGCCGAGTTTTACGACGCCATTTCACGTAAAACGGGTTGTGAAACTCCACTGATAATATGCCACCCCTGTCTGCAGGTCCCCCTCGTTATTGATATAACTAGTCGCTTTCCCCTAGCACATGGTCGACCAATGCACGTTGGTGACGGCAGTGCTATTGGAGTCGACGTAACCAAACCTTCACATTATGGTGACACTATAGAGGTCAATGATAATGAGGTGAGGAGGAGTTATATCGATCATTCGTATATCATTGGAGTTTCACCCGTTTTACGGAAGTGGCGTAAAACTCGGTAAAAAACGCGATATTATTCGCGGTGATATGCAGTTGTCGTTAAATATGTCTTTCACTACTGTTTTTGATATCACTAGGGTGAAACTCCATTGGAGTTTCACGGGCGGCCCTAGTGATATTAAAAACACTAGTGAAAAATGTATTTCACGACTACTGCATAGCGTTTTGCACCGAGATTCACGCCGTTTCACGTGAAACGGGTCGCGAAACTCCAGTGGAGTTATATCTCGTTTTACATGGAGTTGCGTAATACTCCATGTGGAAAACGCGATATGAAATGGATTGAAACACTTCAGAATTATCTATGTTTTTCATATCACTAGGGTGAAACTCCAACACTGGTTTGTTGTTTACAGGTTTGTGTGTTCTGGTGTTGCGGAGTGACCTCGACAGTTGGTGCCTTATCCGCTTCGTTGGAATTCCTTATTACCCATAGTCCCGGCCATATGCTGGTTCTTGATATTACTAACGATATGCTCATCGATATTGGTGACACTTGAAGGCTTGTATTTTCTGAGATTTCATTCAATGTGTGAAGAAAAGTGTTAGTCAATTTATCGTGACAGAGTATAGTTGGAGTTTTTATGGTAGGATTCACATTATCAATTTCATTTTCGACAAATTGAAATTGTTGAGTTTCGAATTGAGAGCGTCTGAGAACTGCCGAAAATGAATAGTTCGGCAACTGTTAGTTTTGCATAGAAGCGACGTGCAAGTGTACTATTAAAAACTTCACATACTCAGTGTGGGAAAATATGCACATGGTCAAGTACATGTGTTGGTGACAATATGGAATTTTTGTGGAAATTTCGAGAATTTCTCATTGGTTTCTGTACACTTCTACCCGAAGTAGTGAAGAAAGCGAGCATATATTTCTTCAACACTGAGTAGGAATCACCATCAGTTGTGGTAGAATGAACTCTCCATACTTTGCACGAAATCTATATGCACGCGTGCACACCCTACATCAATAATTCTGGCAGTAGTTTGTATCGGTCACCTTGTCCACTCCTACAGGGTTAGGGCGAATATAAAAGCCTTCAGCTCGGTCGGCCTCATCACGTGATACAGAAATGGTGTGATCGAATGGGAAATATATACAGCAGTGTGCTTCACATGTTGTGTATGATGACATTGTATACGACGATTGATGTATTGCTCGCATTTTATATATTTGAGCCATCATCGCTCGCCAAGATATCCGCGTGAGTATCCGAAACCGTAGACCCCAATGGTCGATTCGGTTGTATTAATTAGGCTCCTTCAATCCGGTCCTCTCTGAAATTGCGTTGTCAATTACGGATCTAACAACACTTCCTGACGTGTTGTGTTTATAATAAACATAACGTGATGAAAAATAACATTAGTTTAACTCCTCTTTGATTTTAATGGCACCATCGCATGCTCTCATCGATGGTCATATAGTGCCTGTAGATATATCTTCAACTGTTGGCAGATCTACAGCGGTTCAACTTGACGCCCTACGAGCCCAACTTGGTGAATTTTTCATTTCTCGCTGTCGTTTTTTATTGTTATTACTCCACAGGTATTGGCGTGGATCCATGGTATGACTATTCGTACATGCGTGCACAGAAAGCTCGGAAACGTGGGGACGGAACGGTAAGGAATGTATTTTTCTTCGAGAAATCGAATCGTTTCTCATCAAGAAATTTTGGAGCGTAAAATATGAAGAAATGTAAATGACTGCGCTCTTATACGGTAGAGTGAAACGATCGTATTTGAAAATTGTTACTTGAATTTTTCGGTGCACCGATTTCAAAGTTCATAGCTCAGAACTTTTGCCCACTATGTAATGAATGGGTGCTTAGAGACCTTAGATGAGCTTCCCTAAACTTCTTGTCATCATTGTGTGTTTATATATTTCTACACTGTAGGCGAGCGACCAGGAGGATTTTGAAGCGATGGTGGCCAAGTTGAAGAAGAGTGACCAACCCAAACGTCGTTACATGGGCGTCACTGAACAACTCAACTCAATTCTAAAAAAACAACAGAAAGCTAGAGGTGCGAAATCGGAAGAATAACACTTTCGATGGAGGGTCGTAAGCGGACCTGATTTGAATCTTCCGGTGCTGAGCCTAGAGAGAATCTTTAGAATATACTATCACTCTGCGGGACAGAGTGATTCGCTTCGGAATTCGTCTCTAGCGATGGACAAAAGGAATCATTAAGTATTTACATTTCACCGCTTCACAAGTATTACTAATCATCCGGGTTCGAATCCCACGTCCGGTATTTTTAACTCGTTGCGATTCAGACGAACAGAAAAAGTTAGTCAAAGCCACCGCCCCTGTGAAGAAGTCCGCGCCCGTGGTGGCTGTGCGAAAGCCGAAGAAGCTCAGAAGAAGGCTGCGCTTGTCAGCAGTGTTCCGTTCGTTGGGTCGAGAGGATAGAGTCAAGTAAGGTGTTGTGGTGAAATCTTGCAATCTTGCATTTCCTCAACGGCAGGGATCGTAAGAGTGTAGTTCCTGATGATGATCGGTATACGCCGAATTATGCTGTTTGTTGGCCTTCGATGAAAGTGAGTCGAATTGGACGAGTTGTGATGATGATGATGAGGAGAGGCAGGTCGCTGATTTCAATAAGAGGGAGCCGTCGGAGACGCGAAGGGATAGAGTGAAGGCTCTTGAGGAGGAGAGGCGTTCGATCTTAGTCAAGGCGATAGAGAAGCGAGAGAAGGCCGCTGAGGATCCGGTAAGAGACAATTAAGAGATCAGTCTCTGTAGTTTAGTGAGGGATGTTCGCGGATATCGACCATTAGGTCGTGGGCTCGATCCCTGGTATATTTGAAATATGTTTTCGTCAGGGCCCTGTGGAGGGGGAGGAGAAAACTAAGCGAGTGAGAATGTATGGCTACGACGACGATGAGGATGAAGACGAGCGGGATGATATTTATGGTGATTATGATGATGATGATGATGATATCATTCAAATCGAGGAGGTGACCTACTGATGCCTTTGATGTCGAAGTTCCTTAATTGAATTGATTGTTCTCAGAGGAGAGGCCGTGGTGGGGATCCTCTCAGTTCTATACCGAGAGATGCGTACATACTAGGCGGTGGCTCTGGCTCGATAAGAATACCAGATTTTGATAAGTAGATTTGCATACCTGTTTCGTATCTTTCACGCTCAACCTCAGGATGCTCCCAAGACCCGATGTTGTTACTCGCAATGTGAATGAGTTTATCCCCGCAGAGAATGCTGATTTGGCCAGCAGTAGGTCGTCGCCATTCTCGAGTTTTTATCGATTTTCTAGGCACCAGAGTGAACCCACTGGCGAACCTAATAGAGTTCAGGAAAATGCCGGGAGGACAGAAGTCTTCGAAGGCTCGTAAATCACTCTTGCGTGGCGAGCCCGTACCGTTGGATCCGGATGCACATCGGTAAGGATTCCCGAGGCAAATTAGTCGGAAATTCGTGCTTTGATTTTGTGCCGTATGATGGGAAAAAGTTCGTCTCCACAGTGTTTAGTGAAATGAATGTAAAACTCAGGATCCATCTGGAGCTGTGAAATGTGGTTCGTATTTGTGGAATCTATAATAGAGGCGGAATTCCGTGATCATTTGAAGACCACGAAGTTTGACAAAATATGCACCACGAGGGAAAATTTCCGTTGGTCCTACACTTTTCTGTCCAGGGTCGTGTGCATTTTTTCGATTGTTTTTCGGCGAAGAAAACAAGTCGTACTGTAGGGATATTCTCAGGCCTCGGCCGAAGACGGGCGTGACTTTTGCCGATCAACTGCCCCGGGGGGTTGCGGTGGGTAGGGGGGAAAAGAGTCGTCACGACGCCGCAATGCAAGCGCTCGGGGTGGACAGGTAACGGCTCTCTGTGGTTCGAAGAGACTACGTTTTGTATCTCAGTTCCCTTCGTCGTATCACAACGACGTATCTTTCGAATCTTCATCGTGAGGGAATCGGTCATCATGATATGAGTCTTCAGCTTGGCCGATCTCAGCGTGCACGTCAAACTGATAATCCTCCCGACAGGTGAACATACCATCTCTCTTTGAACTCACCGGAAATATGATATAGGCCGGTGGATGTCGTTGGCACAGGAGCTGACAACACGGCAGAAGAACCGAAAACAAGCGAACCAACGGGAATTACGTAGGGCTGCTAGCGCTTGTATATTCTCCTCATCCGAAGAGGCTTTCAGGTTCGGCAAACAGTTGAGTAGATCTCAAGCAGCATTAGGGAACAGGAATACAGCACGAGATTCGCAGATCGCCTCCCATGTGATTAGCACGGAGGTTGGTTCTGTTCGTTGCGCATTCGAATGATAACGGCCGTTCAGATGTTGCCTGTGGAAGCTCTCGACCCTCAAGTGATGAGGCCCAGGTTGCACCCTGTGATTATGGATATCCACATAACCCTTCCTGAGCCTTCCCTGTTCAATCCTCTTAGAAGTGGGGCTTCTCCCATGGACGAGCTCGCACTTGAAATTGGTTTAGTTACTAAGGCTTACAACCACTCGACAACGGCGTTTGCTGAACCCGGTCTCGGGGCTCGTAACAGGTAAGTCGTTCAATTTTTTCTACGCTTCTCGCTACCATTATCAGACATACATCTAGCGAGCCCATCCTCCCTGGCACTGCAAGCCGTGAATATTGGTATGCTAATTACAACGACGCCTTTTCCTGGCCGACCGGATATGAAATTAACTAAATTTTGATGACTTCGATGTTGATGTTGGTGTATAATCTGCTGAAGCTGTTGGGTTCTCGCAGTTCTCAATGTCGGCTACGCCGGTGTCCCCATATGACAATCGTTGTTTTCCCGACTACGATGCGACTAAGCTAGTCCTACCAGGGAGGGTGAATTACCGTGGGTGACCTGCCAACCTAAGTGATCTTCTATGCACTCGTTGAGCAATCGAACTCCCTCGCGGATTGTAGCTCGTCGAAGAGACGCCTTCCACATTTATTAACTATGTTATACCGAACACATCAGGGGCCACCAGTTGTATAAGGGGTTTCGATGCTCAATAGGCTGAGCTCATCCAAAGCGACAATGCCTTGTATATCAGCGGGATAGATATCATGCGCAGACAGTCAATCACTCGCGATCCGTATTGGGAGGCCATGTATTCGGCGCCTTCTAGTTCCTTGACCAATGAGGAAAGTTAGCTTTCGATCTTCAGAAGACCAGAGAGGTTCATCATAATGCACCATTGTGAGCAAGCTCACAGCCAGCCACCCCTTTACTCGCATGACTATAGCAGTGATTTCAGCTTGTAAGTCATAACGACGAGGTAAATGGAGTATGCTGTTCTTCAATGTCAAATAATGTCACTCGCATAGTGAACACAATACTGCGATAATCGTAGACTCCCCGTGTAAAGTTCTCGTGGTGATGAAGATGAAGAAATTCCACAAAACCTGCTGAGTCAGCAGTATCGAGTCATCAAGTTATTAACTTCATCACTGATCGACTCAACGAGGTCGAGTCCAGTTTCACGGTGAGGTATGATAACCTCATAATGAGATCATTCCAGGATCTCGACGTCTTTAGCGTTGTCAGAGGTCAGGCTTTCCGTCTGGTATCAGTGAAAAGATCAGAATCAGGACACTTCACCGTAAATTGAAAAGCAAAGCATATGGTGGGGTACATAAGAACATCATTGAGTACAACATGGAGGATCGGTGGCAACAGCGATAACATGAGGATACTTCGCTTCAACAGATCGAGCAGTGTCTTCTCCCTTTCCTCTTATTGCGAGTCGACTTCTTGGTTCGAATGCGTTCAGGAGATTCCATCAACTCAGCGGTGGATCGGCTTTTAGCCGACTCGTCCTTGGGTACTCCAACTGGAAACTCTGGTCTTTCACGGCTAGGCAAGCTAGCATTCATTGGAATTTCCTTCTTGTGGGTCGACTCTTCAGTTTGAATGCTTTCAAGAGATTTCATCAACTCAGCGGCGGATCGTGCGTCAACCGACTTATCCTTGGGTACTTCAACCGACGACTCTCCTGATCTTTCACCGTCAACATCACCGGGATGCAACCCCAGTTCTTTGTCTGGCAACATCAATTCAGTGTTGGAGGCGATGCCTTCCATTTCCGCTCTAGTTTCCCTCTGAGGGAAGAGGTGACACAGTCTCTCTTTGAGATAATTATAAGGATCGGCGTCTTCGATACTCTCCATCACACCAAGGCCATTGAAGATGAACACGGTTGCGATACGACATGTGAATGCATCGAGAGGTGGTGATAAAATGTCTAAGCTCATCATCGGGTCTTCTGTGTCTCTCAACCCGTCGGCTGTCCTCTCTTGAATGATCCCATCAGAGCTCCTGTGCGAACGGTAAACAAAGACAGCAGGTGGCGACTCACCGTTCATAAGAGATGCCGTCAGGGCATTGCAGAGAGATGATCGACAACTTCCGAGACGTGCCGAGACGGTCAAAGATGATCGATTCTGATGAGTCCTCGGCTGGCTGAACAACACAGACTCCTGTTGACTCGGTTTCCTCATAGCTCAGACGAGCTTTTCTCTGAAGGTCAATAACAATAAGAAGAGATGGAACTTCGAATAGAGCATACTCACCCTTATCCAGGCTCTCAGGCCGTTATCTCCATATCGGTAACACATATGGTAACGAAGGGTTTCGAATTGCGACAGCGTTTCATAAGCGATATTTTTATGGAAGTATGTTGCTAAATCTTTTACCACATCTTTGCAGTTATCGCCGCGGACTTTTCGGAAATCGTCAAGAAAATCTGATATTGCTTCACTTTTCCCGTCGGGCATTATTCGAGTGAAACTTGTCTCATTGCGACTAAACATGGAAAGAGCGCTCCCGAGTGGATCACCTCGAGATGCATTACAGTTCATAACGAATCTTGCCTGGGCACGACAACGCCTGGGTCTTGAGACTTCTCAACCGAGCTCTACTAGGATCAAAACGAATGACAATCTTATCAGAAGTATCAGCCTCGGTGGCAATACAATTGTGAGGGCCTCGTTCATTCTCATCCTAAAAGATTCTTCCATCGTCAAATAAGCTTTGGGATTTACCTCAGAAGCAACCAGCAGATCACCAGTCGACAGGCCCTCAGTGAAGACTGAGGAAAGCAGTGGAGTGAACAGGAGTAGATACATGATATAGATAGAAACTTCGAACACCAGCAAACGCGCTCTTAGCCGTAAGTTTATCTCCATGTCTTCGTAGCGGGTCTTGATCTAGGAACGTTCGTAATCATCAAGTTCTCTTCAATGTGGACGTAGCCCTAATGGACGTTGAAGGAGAGCGAAGGTCTGCACTCAAAATGGAGAAATATGTCAATAGCAATGGATGAATCAATCTCAGTACATGTTGATATGGTTAAATCGAGTCTGAGACCCTCATGGCGAGGTATGAGATCACCCCAGCGGATCAGTCTCAGTATTAGCGATAAAACCAGCAACAGACACTTTGAAAGCCGCCGTAGATTGACAAGCAAAACATGTGGTGACAACATTACCGAGTACAGCATGTTGGATTAGCGATAACATCAAACATCGAGTATGAGATTACTTGCCTTCAACAGAGCGAGCAGTGCTTCCCTTTCTTTCTCATTGCGGTTCGTCGATCCCGGATCAACTTCGTGGTTTCAGTGAGCTCAGGAGATTTCGTCAAGTCAGCGTATCTTCTCCCAACCAACTCACTCTTGGATACTCCAGTCGATACGATAGATTTCTCTTGCTTCCTACGGTTGTATCTTCTCCCAATCGACTCCTCCTCGGGAGCTTCAGTCGAGAAGATAGGTTCTTCTGGCTTCCTGCCGTTGTATTGTCTTTCGACCGACTCCTCCTCGGGAGCTTCAGTCGAGAAGATAGATTCTTCTGGCTTCCTGCCGTTGTATTGTCTTTCGACCGACTCCTCCTTGGGAGCTTCAGTCGATACGTTAGGTTCTTCTGGCTTCCTGCCGTTGTATTGTCTTTCAACCGACTCCTCCTTGCGTACTTCAGTCGATACGTTAGGTTCTTCTGGCTTCCTGCCGTTGTATTGTCTTTCAACCGACTCCTCCTTGCGTACTTCAGTCGATACGTTAGGTTCTTCTGGCTTCCTGCCGTTGTATTGTCTTTCAACCGACTCCTCCTTGCGTACTTCAGTCGATACGTTAGGTTCTTCTGGCTTCCTGCCGTTGTATTGTCTTTCGACCGACTCATCCTTGCGTACTCCATCAAGGCTGATAGACTCTCCTTTTCTTCTACGGCGGAACAAGTCAACATTAGTGGGAGTAATGTCAGGAGAAATGATGTCTTCTTTTTTCACTCCAGCTGATTTCTGATGGAATAAGTCACACATGATCGTTGTCAAGACTTCGAATGTAGGAGAACCAATCTTCTCCACTCCGACGCCAAGACCGGTGAACATAAGAACAGTCGCTTCGAGACATGTGGATGCTGATAGAGGGCGCAGAGCGATGTCAAGATCCACTAGAGGATCTTGCGATAAGGTCCACTGTTTCCCCTTTCGGTTGTTTCTCGCGTGAATTATTCCGTTGATACGCCTGACAAAAACGTTCGACTAAAGCACTGCGGAAGTAGCAGGTCGTTCCTCTACCCTCTGTAATCGGTACCATCGGAACATGGTAAAAATAGAGTTCTCAAACTGCGAGTGTCCCTATCACGATGGAGAGCTATTGAAATTGAAGGATTTCCCCTTTTCTCGGAGAGGACGCAGCCTCCTATCGGGGTGTTGTCGCCGGAGTAATCACTATTTATCCCATCCTGAAATTAAACCGAACCTGTTGGGCATAATACATGCCATATTTTGTGGGCTAGATTGCAGAGCATCATTAGAAGATGAATTAGCCACGAGCTCTACTACTACTACTACTACTACTACTACTACTACTACTACTACCAGTTCCCCTAATATCGGGGAACTATCGGGGCCTGATAGTCCTGATGATCTCGGTAGAATTTGACCGGTTCATATTCCGGGCACAATACAAGTTGTATTGTGCCTGGAATATTTATACAACATTTATACAAGTTTATAAATATATCATACAAGATGTATTGCACAATATTTGCCTGTGTTTTGGCCGCTATTAACCTCACATGGTAGAATTGGAACATCCACATTCCGGGTAATTTTCCGAAATTGTAATCTAGAAAATACTCTGTCACTTACATAGATCCACTGCTTTAACTTCAAGTTCGTGTACTCCAAGCAAAGAGCGTTATTGAAGTTTAAATATGAGTAGTCGGTAGAACGCTGATAAATTCTCTTTAATCCATACACTGCATCTTGGCAGGTCTCCCAGCGATGCAAACCCATACGGTGAAGTGGGTCGGTTCCTCGTGACACTACACCAGTAGATGATGTAGTGGTCAGAAAAGAAGCATCTTCAACGTTCCTACCAAAACGAATTGTGATGATGAGAATGAAAAACAGTGTCGTAGAGTGACTACGAGTGATGATGAAGTCCTGGGCATGTGAGATCCTTGGTGAAGAGTTTCCTGCCGTCGAAGTGAAACTCAATCTTATCGTTTCTACCAGGGATTGCAAGTCTTGGGGTAACGACACAAGTCGACCAGTTACCATCACCTTTTATCGTAGTGATTACAATATCATCCTAAACGACATAGTGATAGAAAAAGAGATCGAATACACGTACGTTTGAATGGGGGAGCTCATGCTTGTCACTGACGATTGTGGATCTACCCACTACGTGTGGAGGTGCGAGTAGTAGTGTGAGAAGTAGGTGTGAGAACATCACTAACTACGATAAGACGTTCATTAGGAAGGTGAAGTAGGAATCGGTCGGTTGATGAGTTCCTTCACATAAGATAGTCGCGTAGAGGGCGGAATTACTGTATGCACTGTGTAATGCGCGAAATCATTTCCGAGCTCGAACATTCACCCCGACTCAGGAAATAGAACTGCTGGTCATTTGATTAACTTTTTAAGGGTTCTATAATTGAATCTACTAGTTAGACCATGTTTATGCTCGTGACCATGATTGTGAGAAGTTACTGTAATCTTGCGTACTTAGTCATTCTTATAATTCCTCAACGCCACCAAAGGAGTATTATCATCATCTCCTTGACGACATTATGGGTACCTCATTCACTCCAACCTGCAACAAGGAGCTGACAGCTCACATTGATTGTGTCAAGTCTTTTTTGAGAGAAGCTCGGACCAAACATACTCCGTAATAATGACTAATATAATATCAACGAAAATCATATGAGGATTACTATCAGATACCTACCGGGTACTGGTGATCCTAACTTTGATAAATGCTCTGATTCTAGAGAGTATTTCGCCAAGTAAGTACCTACTCTTGTTTACACAACCTCACAGGCTTTGTTTGGGAACCTTCACCGAATCCTCGTATGAGTATCATCAGCGTATCTCGGTGTAAGCACCTTCTCTCTGCACCCTAGTATGATGAGATCCTTTATGTACTATGTATCTTCTTATAACAACCTCTTCCGTATCTTCTTATAACAACCTCTTCCGTATCTTCTTATAACAACCTCTTCCGTATCTTCTTATAACAACCTCTTCCGTATCTTCTTATAACAACCTCTTCCGTATCTTCTTATAACAACCTCTTCCGTATCTTCTTATAACAACCTCTTCCGTATCTTCTTATAACAACCTCTTCCGTATCTTCTTATAACAACCTCTTCCGTATCTTCTTATAACAACCTCTTCCGTATCTTCTTATAACAACCTCTTCCGTATCTTCTTATAACAACCTCTTCCGTATCTTCTTATAACAACCTCTTCCGTATCTTCTTATAACAACCTCTTCCGTATCTTCTTATAACAACCTCTTTTGTATCTTCTTATAACAACCTCTTCCGTATCTTCTTATAACAACCTCTTTCGTATCTTCTTATAACAACATCTTTTGTATCTTCTTATAACAACCTCTTTCGTATCTTCTTCCCACTGTCAGATGTATGGGAGAAAGGCCCGAAGACAGAAGTATGTTCCGTCGAACCATGTCTACAGAGATGCCTCAACCATGCGAGATGGAGCTCAATGTAACCATACCACTCCATACACGATTCATATCTTCTCTCAGCTCCATGGTCAATGTGTTGGCAACTACTTGACCCAGTCTATTAGAACTGGAAAGGACTACATGTTCTTAGGAAGAGGATCGTCACAGAGTAAGGTCGCGTCGTTCGTATGCTTATATATTTTTCCAGGTGAGGATAAGTGTTTCCTCACTCGTGCAGCATTCGAGAAATGTATGATGTATCAGAAGATAACAGAGCGAGCGACGAACGAGGGGCAGGTGGGGCTAGCTGACCTATTCCGTATCTTACACGCTCAACCTAAAGATTCCTCATCAGGTTGAATATGCTGATTTCTCGCGACGATTCGGTCGACAGACCCAAACGACCCTCGGAGCTGAATAATACCATGTTGTTTATGATACTCGAAAATGTACAGCCACTAAGCTGTGCTCGTGTCCTTCAAAGGGACTCATATTGATTATCATTTATACTATCGTATTTAGTTCTAGTAGTGTGGGGGCGACAATGTGCACATGCTCAACTACATGTGTTGGTGACCATTAAAATTGTGACGAAATTTTGGGAAACTCTTGGTTGCTTATGTACACTCCTAACCCGAATTCGTATATAAACTTGTATGATGGTTGAGGAAGCTCCCGAGATCACCTCAGGAGTGCGAAGTTCGCACTGCGAACATATATTCTAGTACTGAGTTCTAGTATATCATCCAAGTAACACTGAACATAGCGACTTTTCCGAAGCGGGGATTGATGATCCATGACGTCACTAAATACCAGTGTTGGAATATATGTTCGTTTTCCTCAGTTCAGTCCAGAAATTCTCTCACTAACAATAGAAAGTTACATTCAAATTCGGTAGAGAGCCAATTTTCCTCAGAGTTACCGCGAATGTTACCTACACATGTAGTTGACCATGTGCATGTTTTTCCACACCGTTAGAGTCACTCACAAAATGCTATGAAAAGTGTCAAGACTTTTCAATACTTCAACACTTCAATCTCAATAAGATTCCAATACACTCTGTTCGCAAATCCCAATATTCGACTAGTACATCCCACCCG